GAGGGTTGAGACCCACGTGAAATGAGGACCTTTCAGGAGGAGATTCGAGCCTTAGGTGGGAGGGACACCCGGGCGGGAGAGGGAGGCTGGGCCTCTGCCGCCGGCCACCCGCACCGCGCCTTTCCCAGCTGGTGGTGCAGGCCGGCCTCTTCCACGGCAACGAGACGCTGTGCAAGACGGTGTCCAGCTCGGAGGTGAGCGTGTGCTCGGAGCCTGTGTGGAAGCAGCGGCTGGAGTTCGACATCAACGTCTGCGACTTACCGCGCATGGCCCGCCTCTGCTTCGCGCTCTACGCCGTGATCGAGAAGGCCAAGAAGGCTCGCTCCACCAAGAAGAAATCCAAGAAGGCGGTGGGTGGGGCCGGTCGGGAGGCGCTCCATGATGGGCCCAGTCCAGTCCCGCAGCCCGCCCCGGGGCCACTGCTCATCCCGTTCCTAGCATCCCAGCTGGCACGCAGCCTGGGGACGGGGTCCAGGAGGGCCTGTGAACCCCAGCCTCTCCACGCCGCGCGTGCGCACACACACAACACATACACACACACACACACACACACACACACGCACGCATGCACGCACGCACGCTGGCCACCACCCCTGCCTGCCATGTGATGGTGCTGGGTTCCTGGGCTTATGAGCACAGTGACTCGGAATATCTGGGCCTGGGCCTTTGGTCCTTGTGGGAACCTGGAGGGAGCTTCCTGCCCTGGAAGGACAAATGCAGTGTCCTTGCAGGGAGCGGGGTGGCCTGAGTCAGCAGCCAGTTGGAGACAGAGTGGTGGTCGAGCACTGATTCACTGGGCCCAGGATGTGACTGACCACCGAGCCACCCTGACTCACTCGTAGCTGAGCTGCGCCAGCTCCCTAGGGCCTATGTGGTTTGTTTGAGGCTTTCTCAAGAAGCCGAGAGTGGGATGCGTCCGGGAGCAGAAGGGAGCCCAGGGGTGACTGACTCTGCCAGCTGTTTCAGAGGGAGTCTGGGCAAGGGTGGGAAGCATGGTCTGGCTGGGCCCATCCTGCAGATGAGCAAACGGAGGCTTTCTGGCGGCTGGCTGTGACCTGCCCGGTTTCTCTCCCAGGACTGCCCCATCGCCTGGGCCAACCTCATGCTGTTTGATTACAAGAACCAGCTCAAGACTGGCGAGCGCTGCCTCTACATGTGGCCCTCTGTCCCAGGTTGGCCCAGGCCAGGAGGGAGAGGCAGAGGCCGGGGGACTGGGGAGGTGGGTCCCACACGTGATGACATTCCCCTTGCAACTCCATCTGTCGTCGTATCCAGACGAGAAAGGGGAGCTACTGAACCCCTGTGGGACCGTGCGGAGTAACCCCAACACTGAGAGCGCAGCTGCCCTGGTCATCTTTCTCCCTGAGGTGGCCCCCCACCCTGTATACTACCCTGCCCTGGACAAGGTCAGTGAGGGGGCCCTCGCCATTTGGGGTCCAGGACCCACCCTGCCCAGAAACCTCAAAGCTAAAGGTTAACTGTCCTGACCCTGCCTCTGGGGCTCCCCAGGACATGGTCCCTGCACCCCGTGAGTTGCCCGGGCTGGGAGCTGGGTGCCCACACACGCTCGGAGGCTTCCTTGACTCTGGAATCCTCATGTGTCCTAGAGCAGTGATTCTCAACCGGGGGCCGCTTTGCCCCCCAGGGGACTTTGGGCAATGTCCAAAGACATTTTCGGTTGTCACAACCAGTGGGAGAGATGCACCTGGCATCTCATGGGCGGAGGTCAGGGATGCTGCTAAATGCCCTACAGCACGCAGGAGAGTCCCCACCACTGAGAGTCATTGGCACACAAAGTCGGCAGTGCTGAGGTGTTGACGCCCGCCCCGGGGGCCACCCCCCGGCCAGGCTGGCCCAGGCCCCGGGGCTGCCGCTGACAGCAGGGTCGCTCTTGCAGATCCTAGAGCTGGGGCGGCATGGGGAGCACGGGCGCTTCACGGAGGAGGAGGTGAGCTGGGGGCCGTGGGCGGTGGGGCGTGGACCTGGCTGCAGCCCTCACCGCACCCCCACCTCCACCTGTGTCCCTCAGCAGCTGCAGCTGCGGGAGATCCTGGAGCGCCGGGGGTCCGGGGAGCTATACGAGCACGAGAAGGACCTGGTGTGGAAGATGCGGCACGAGATCCAGGAGCACTTCCCCGAGGCGCTGGCCCGGTTGCTGCTGGTCACCAAGTGGAACAAGCACGAGGACGTGGCCCAGGTGGGCGGCAGGGCCGGGGCCGGGGAAGGGAGCAGAGTCTGGAGCCAGACCGCAGCCTGCGCCCCCTGCCCTGACCACCGGCACCCCCCAGATGCTCTACCTGCTGTGCTCCTGGCCCGAGCTGCCCATCCTGAGCGCCCTGGAGCTGCTGGACTTTAGCTTCCCTGACCGCCACGTGGGCTCCTTTGCCATCAAGTCCCTGCGGAAACTGACGTGAGTCCCGCGGGCTTCCTCATCTTCAGAGGGCGGCTTTGCCCCAATGGCCCGGGTCTAGCCGCTGGCTGGGGACCTCTCCTAGGGGCCTGCTCGGGTGAGGCTGGCCTCCCGCCCCTAGTCTGCCCCCTCGCCAGCTGCAGAGCCTCTCCCGAGCCGTGAAGCCCCGGGCCCCAGGCAGCCTCCCCGTGAGGCCCCGGGCCCCAGGCAGCCTCCCTTCTCTGCAGGGACGACGAGCTTTTCCAGTACCTGCTGCAGCTGGTGCAGGTGCTCAAGTACGAGTCCTACCTCGACTACGCCTAGAGCCCGTGCTCCGCCACAAGAGAAGCCACTGCAATGAGAAGCCCGTGCACCGCAATGAAGAGTAGCCCCCACTCGCTGCAACTAGAGAAAGGCTGTGCGCAGCAATGAAGACCCAACACAGCA